GCGTGCGGCGTGGAGTATGGCTGAGGGTGGGTGGGATTCGTCGTCTGGGGGGGGGTCGTCTGGGGAGGTTGCGGAAGCTACACCGCCGTCGCCAGAACGTGAAGTGGCTTCTGCGGCGTTGACGACGCCGTTGTCTGCGAAGCCTCCGAGGGTGACGTGGGATACGATTGATACCATTCCCGAGGAGACGAGTAGTGAGTCCGAATCATTGTCTGTAACGACATCACTTCCAACTCCACCGGTTTTGTCTATCCCCGCACCTATTTCGCCAAGTGATAAAAACGGGCATGGACCACAGTCAGCACAATCATCACATCATCTTGCTCTCCCTCGATCGCCTACAAGCCCAATCCACACCACGCCACCACTCAGTCCCAAATCACCTGCACGATACACCACCACAACCCCACACCCCGCCCACCCACCACCCTCCCCGTCCCACCACCCATACCCACCCCACCTACCCCTACCTCCCACCCCCGCCACCTCCGGTGCCCCCCCACGACCCCCCCGACCCACACCACCCAGCCCACCCCCCCCCGCACACCGGCCCCACCACCCCCCCCCGCCCCCCCCCACCCGCCGCGCGGCCCCCCCCCTCCGGTCCCCCCCCACGACCCCCCATAACAACCTCCCCAACCCTCCGCGTCTACCTCCCCTCCCGCTCCCAACCAAACTCCCCAACAACACCAACATGGGCCACTCCCTCCTCCACCAACGAACTCTCCCGCTCCCTACCGCGTGACGCCCAGTTCCTCAGTCTCGGTCGCAATATGGGTCGAGACAGAGCGGATAGCGACCCGTTGAGGAATGCCGGGGCAACGATGGGGTATGGTACTTTACGGAGGGGGAGTGATGCGGGGTTTGGGAGGGAGATGAGGAGGGAGGGAAGTCGGGAGGGGAGTGTGGAGGTTGGGAGGAGTCGGAGTAGGAGTAAGAGTAGGGGGAGGGAGAGGAGTGAGAGTCGGGGGAGGGAGCGGGAGGGGGAATTGATGAGGGAGTTTAAGAAGGCTTTTGAGAGGCATTTCTGATGTGGTGGTTCCGCACCATCCAAGTTCGTTTGTGCGTTTGTTTTTGTATAGTGCATAGGTGGTTGCTGTTTTGCATGGGCTGTGCAGACGAGCGCCATACCCCACGGGAATGGGGCTGTTTGTATGCTTTCTCTGCGTTTTGCTCTTCAAAGCTTTTGTAGATTGATGTTCCACTTGTCTTTGTAAATGTAAAAAAAAGCAGAATTTTCCGACATCGAGTTGAATGATTTTGAGCATTCCGTAGAAGAATGGGGAAGTGATGAAGCTGGCCGTTCTGATGGGATTCAGGTTTTGTGTTTTTGAAAGTGTTCTTTCGATGTCTAACTTCAGAGGGATGGAGAAACAGCGGAGGGCGCCGAAGTCTGGTCTTGTTTCATCCGCTATTGCTGTATCGGCTTTGCATGTGTGCTTCCAAAACAGTGAAGCTACTTCCATTGTGTGTCGCTAAAGTAGTTTTCGCTTTTGAACAAGTCATGGGTGGAAACAAACGTTCCAGCTGCCACCTCGAAATTACTTTCGACGGCGATTCAGATTGAATCAAGCAGCTCACGCTAAACCAACTGGATTGTGCAACGATGAACATAGGTTTTTCTCTGAGCTTTTCCCGCGAATTGCACGGATGTTCTGGCGATTAAATTGTTGTGTCTCTTGAGAGACAGATGCAAGAACGCCCCTTTAGATAGTTAGATCTGCCATTGGGTAATCGCCTCTCCAAGACCAATGGATACCTTTTTGCATGATCAGAAACACAATGGGTCACCCGATTCGAATCTTCTTCTGGGAACCACGTACTAGGAGTGTCCATTGCCTGATGCCCCACTGGACCAGTGGTCCTCCAGCTTTGTACGACCACTTTTCCACTGCTGGACGACCACCAGGTCCAATGGTTGTGCTGGTCCAGCAGTGTACCACAGTCCTGGACATACGCTGGACCCCACCACTGTCCTCCTGCAATGCCTCCAGGGCTGGAGAGGGTCTGGATGAGCATTGGATGGGGCCTGGAAAGCTGCTGGGGGCTGGATACATTGCTAATTCCGTCACTGATTCACCAATGGTGTCCAGCGCCGATCTCCAGCGCTGGTGGACATGGTTGTGCGATAGCTGTTGACAACATAGCCACTGGACCAGCGTCTGATCCATCTCCTGGCGGTTCCCAGAAGTATGTCTTGTGCTGGCTGGCTTGCTCCGCAACAAGCAATCTGGCCAAGTAATGGCTGGGCCGTATAATAGAGATTTTTTTCCCTCCACCTTTTGACGTTGAAATCCGCCCAGACGTTTATCGGATGGACATGTATTGCGTTTTTAGCTCATTTCACAAGCCCGGTTAGCTCAGTTGGTAGAGCGTGAGGCTTTTAAAGCAGAAGCTTGTAGAAGTCAACCTTAAGGTCGTGGGTTCGAGCCCCACATCGGGCGATTTTTCTTTTCACATCGGGCGATTTTTCTTCGTCGCAAACAGTTTTCTTTCAGCACAGTTTTCTTTCAGTTTTCCTTGCATCGTTTGGGAGAAAATATGAAACTAGACAGCACAATTGCTTTGATTGGAAGGAGGAGCCCCTTGTGTTTGCAAAGTGTGGGCAGCTTGAACACTGTTCAAGTATTTTGCCGGGTATATTTTTACCCTTCATAACGGCGTTGTGAGATGCGCCTTACCATGTGCTTTGACCATGGTGTTGACGACAACGTGGGCTTCCCGCTGGCGCCATCCGTGCGCTCAACTGTGCGACGGTGGCGGTTGACACACTCAGCCGGCTGCCCTAGCCATGTGACCAGTCAACCCCCGCCTCCTCTCTCATTCACGAAGTAACTTGCAACCGAGCTGACACCACGTCAATTAGGATTTCACAGTCCTCATATCGAAGGCACGGAAAGGTTAGCATGCTCTCAAATCTTCATCAAGACCATAAGTTCTGCACTCTAACGCATCGAAGATTGCCACTCCAGATATCGGCTGTTCACCATGCTCTCAGTGAACGACACATCAAGTTCTCTCGCCAACAGCAACCTACCAATTCTCGGAGTTCATTATGCGTCGCTCAAAAAGTTACTTTCAAAACTCTGTATTGATCTAGATCAGCTCCAAGACTTGACAACCGCGGAAGTATGCGAGCAATTCATCAAACCCCACACCCAACCGTCTCAGTCTATCTGCGATCGGTACGTCTCTGACAAAACCATCGTCGGCCGAGCCAATTGGTTTGTCAACCACTGCTGGCGCTATAAATTCTCTGAAGTAGTTGACGCCCTCACCACCTTCTTCGACAACAAGCCCGACGCCATCATTTGGTTCGACCTTTTCTCCCTCCCACAACACGGACGGGCGAAAATTGCCGCGAAATGGTTGCAAACGACCTTCCTCAACACAATCACTGCCACGGGCAACGTCGTTTTGATCCTCACGCCCTGGAACCGTCCTGTCACACTTACGCGCGCCTGGTGTGTCTTCGAGCTCTACGCGTGCGCCGTGTCCATGTCCAATTTCCATATCGCGCTTCCAGCTGCTCAGCTACATGCCTTCAGCATGGAAGTCACCAAAGACCTGAGCGTCTTTCAACAGACCATCGCCTCAATCAAGTCCGAAGATAGTGAAGCATCGGAAGAGGACGACGTGAAGGAAATCCATAGCGTCATTCGGGCATTCATCGGATTTGAAACATTGGATCGGATGGTTTTGTCTCTCATTTCTAACTGGATGCTGACGGTTGCGCAAGTGCAAATGGCGCACTCGGAGAGGGAGGGCAACGCTTTTAAACAGGCTGAATGGATGAATACCTTGGCTAGTTTGTATCATCAGCAGGGACGGTATAGGGAAGCGGAACCATTGTATGCGGGGTCATTGGTCATGTTGAAGCGAGAGCTGGGAGAAGATGATCGAAACGTCATCCAAGTCGATAGTAGTTTAGGTATGGTACGGATGCGGTTGGGGCGACTGGGGGAGGCGGAAGAGCTGTTGAGAGACTGCGTGGAACGGTCGCGGAGAGTGCTTGATGAAGCTGACATCGTCGCTTTGGCGGCGGTGGTTCACCTGGGAATTATCTGTGATGCACGGGGACGATACCGGGAGGCAGAAGAGATACTATCACGTCAAAGTGAACAACTACGGCAAACGCTTGGTACTCGCCATCGGCTCACACTCCTCTGCATCGGCGGCATGGGGCTAGCACACATGCACATGAAAAACTTTCAGACCGGACAAAAGTTGTTGGAGAAAGCTGTGCAGTTGGAAACGGAAGTGCTTGGGAAAGACCATGAAAATACCTTGCACACGTCCAACATCCTCAACAGCCTGTATTGCATTACGGGCCAACTCGAGAAAGCCGCGCCTTTATTAGAAGATAATTTGGAGAGAACTCAACGAACTTTGGGGTATAATCATCCAACGACAATCAAGGCCATGGCCAATCTTGCCCGGCTTCTAGGAGAAACAGTCGCGGTTCGACTTGGCGTTACCTTTGTATGAGGAATCACTCGAGAAGTTGGAGGAAGTGTATGGGCCCGATCACCCCCTCACGGTACCAGTCCGCACAGCCATACAATTCATCAGAAAGGACAGAGTTGGACATATTGGGGTGTCATTCGTCCGGTTCTTTGGTTGGGGATGCGACTGGGCGTGACCGTTACACGTACAGTACCTTTCAGTTAACTCGACCACGGAAATCGAGACACCGAGACACCAGTGCGCCATTCAATAAATTGTTGGGAGGGTTGATGCGCAGGACGGCTGCTGGGATGACGTCGGATATCGGGGTGTCGGATGGTGGTTGAAAGGGAGCTTTTGTATGTGGAACTTCAAACGTAAAGGTTGTTATTCATGTGAGGGCGGATCTCGAGAGGAACTTATGTTGCGGAAAGAACGAAGAACTTTCAGTTTGAATCACGATTCTGATCACAGGTCGGGAAGGAGGGGTGGATGAAGATTGGTTCGTTGGTGTTATGTCGTAAAGACGGCAGCGCGGATGAGGAGTAGTGTGGAGGGGCTAACGCGGGCAAATGAAGCAGTGCATCTTCGACGTCCGTTCAGAGTTCGAACGTGAGGCATTATGAACAATTTGAGAGTGTTGGCAAGCCCAACCCAGTTGAGAAGGCTGCATCTCATTCATTGTCCAATTGCCCCTACCAACAATGTACACTTTACAGTACTGCCGTCCTCGAGTTCAGATATGTTGTTATGATATTCATCATAATGCGTACCAGAAATGGGAACGCTCATGAACGCTCACCCATCCCTTCCATTGGCCGCAAGAACGGTTTCGTTTTTCATTGCAAGGACAGGCGTGAACAATGTTTTCTAGGGCACGTTATCAGACAACTATTTGAATGAGAAACACTCTATTCTCTGCTTTGCTGACAGTTTTGCCGATTGCGCGTATTTTGTCGTTGTTCCCCTATCAACTTCATGGTTCTCGGGGAAGGTCAACGCGGGGTCATGGTACGGAAAGGTCGCGGTGCATCTGTGTTGAGTGTGTTGCCCGAAAGCGCTTGGAACCCTTGAAAACATATTCTGGAACATGCTCCGCTCTCATCAACCGAGATTCATCGTCGATGCGTCGTGCCAAATTTGGGTGCGCCCGTGGTGAGGTATTCGCACCCAGTGGACCCTAGGTGAATTGTCAGCCAAAATACCGAAACATTTGACTTTCTTCGTCTGCAAATGCCCGAATGGCAACTCGCACAGCAGCCCATGCATTGGCCCTTCTCTTCGACCGTATCTTGGAAAGATTCCCGGGACCGTTCACCGTCTTGTACTTCATGTTGCATTGTATTTGCATGCTCAAGGCGTCCACGCCGGAACTGCGAAAAACTTTCCTATCCATTCTTTGAGAAGCCCCATGTCCAACTCGTGAACCACCAACGTCTGCAAAACGGTCCATCAAAACTCCCACTAAATGATTCTTTCAAGATGTCAGAAGTCACCTTAGTCGTGGGTTCGAGCCCCACATCGGGCGGTTTTTGAATGTACAGCCGGTATGTTTTTGCTGCTCGCATTTTATTACCGCCGTCTTCAGATAAGGATTTTGTTACGATTTGCTGCCTCCTCATTTGCACTTACCCTTGAACCATCCCAGAGTCCACTTCACACCAGTCTCGCGATTATGGTAGTCGATGTGCCGCCGTGTCAGTGGGGATATTGGATCGAGAGGAACCCGAGGAACCTCAGCACATCGCATGACGTCTGGATGACGTTTACAAGCTTCGACGACAGCGGCGCGCCAACACATGTCGCTTTGTCATTGGGAATCGCGCATCACGAATGATATTCAGTGATGGTATTGTGGGACCAGGAGGACCTGAGGTTCATAGGCGGTATGGGACATCTCGTTGAGCAGGGAGCCGCAGTTTTCACGACCCCAGCTTTGAACAATCATGTTGTGCGGCGCATGACCAATGAAGAACGAATAACCGAAGGTGAGAGGGAAAGAAGTTTACGGTTGTGCAGCGCTATGGGGCATTTTGGACGCTTCCCTTTCTGTCATGTAAAGGATATGTCATCTGAACTACCTACCATGCGACCTATGATGCGATACGACACGTCACAAATCTTACTGTCTGACATTGAATCCCATAACGCTGAGCAGTTTGAGTTAAATGACGTAGCTACTTTGTCTCCCTCCATGTGAGTCATGTGGTGAATGAATATCTTCGAGGATGGTTGAGCCCGATTAAATGATAAAGGCATCCCATCATCACAAAGAGCCCTGTGAAAAGATGGTGTAGACCGCCGCTCTAGACATTGGCCCTCTTCGAAACCCCAGGGAATGTAGGACTATCCTTTCCCAAACTCACAAACCCTTCAACAGGAATCTCATTCCGGAAACTCAACTACTCTCCCAGCATTTGGGTGATCCAACGCCGTCCCACGACAATACCTCTGTCAACCCAACTTCCTCAAACCCCTCAAATTATGAATCTCTTGTGGCGTCGACCTCAGATCGATTTTGAATTTGGCCAGCTTTTCGCCAGGATGTGTGGGTGCATTCGATGTGGGAGGTCTTCATGGGGTGGGGAAAGGCGGGATCGTGAGGGAGCTAACTGGCGGTGAGATGATGCTCATCGGGTGTGCAATGTAGCGATCGTTCGGTTTTAGTTTTGATAGTGCCTTGTTTAGAGTCATTGGGAAGCTTTGAAGGTCGAAGGGTTCGGCATCGCATTTCATTGTAGTGCATGTAACAACATGGGCAGTTATATACCTTGTACAGTATCGTTGCTACAGTAGATGAAAGTTTCGATACTTTCGAAGCTTGTAAATAACGAATGCATCATGGATAGAGTCCACGTTTCTCACGGCATGCATCGGCCATGTTATCATACTGCTCATACCCAGAAAAATTCTTACTTGTCCTACCACCCAGCCGTATCAGCTACGTCTTTATTTCTATTGCTTATTCTTTCACCACATCCAAATGGTGAATGACCAT